TTTACCATTCGCTTCTTTGGCATCCCGAAGTCTTGAATCAATAACTTCTCCAAGGTATGTGATTTTTATCTCTCTTGACTGGTTGACTTGTTCACTGTGTTTAATTAGGTTGTAATCTATTATTTTTTAGATTATGGTAAGTTCAACTGAAGTGCCTTCTCCACAATGAGACGTCACTTAATAGGTTCTTTTGTCTATCCGCTAATGAATAGCGTATCGTTTCTTCTGTCAACCGAAGGGACGCATCAAAGTCGCGGAATGTTAACCTTTTCCTTGGTAAACTACTGCTAACTACGTTTTCTTCAGGGATTATAGCGGAGCTCCGACGGCCCGCCAGCACAGCCCCATACTCATATAAGAAAGAAACGGAAACTCATGAGTTGATTTTCTCATGGTATCATGGCTAGCGGTGTTGCTCGTGGGTGCGTACGCAAGACGACGGCGGCGACGGAGTCGCGCAATATTGCGGTCATACTTCCTCTCTAGCAAATGCGGCCTTGGTTTTTAGCGTATGTCTTTGAGATTGGACTTCCATGTTATAGTTAATTGACACCTGTCAAAACAAAGTATCCGCTGACCAGTATCACATGAGTGATACTGAGGGTACGAGTTTTCAAAACAGGTGCAAAAAAAAAAAACATTTGAAGTGCATGACCTCAAGAATTGTAAAATACAATATTTGAATGNTTCTGTCCTGTCACATTTTGTGGAGCACCATCGGGTTCTGATACAGAAGTTATGTACAGAGTTATAATACAACGTAAGAAATACGATCACAGTAACTTGCCAGAGAATCCTGATGATTTGCATTTTTTTACTTTTCACAGTAGCAATTGTTTCCAACAGTTTTTTCCGAGTTTCTTCCTTCTATTCAATTTAAATACGAGTTACACCTTAAGTGCAATTGAGAACTGGCTAGTTACGTCGACCTAAAAAAAAAATCAAAGTTTCACAAGACACCTTTATTGACAAGTCTATTAATGAAATAGCATAACTCTGAAAGCAACTACTCTAACGATTAAAGGGAAACTTGATAAAGAAATCTACTTACTATCCTGGTCAGTTCTAACAACAATGGGAGGATCACTGGCAGGTCCATCTCCTTTGACAGTAGATGCAAACACTGTGATATTGTAGTTGACGTACTCCTTTAGATTGGTCAATTCCTTTTGACGATCATCAGGACCAGCTAGAACATTCCCATTGTCATTCTCTGTTTGTGACTTGTAAGTAATGGTGTAACCCGT